ATATACCCCCCCCCCCCAATAATGTAACATTGCTTCATAAATTAATAATACAATTTATTTTAATCGATAAACTATTTTTTATGTTGATTTTATGATATATCATTTTTTATGATGTTAAAATTGTTTTACAATGACATTTACATTTAAGCTAACGTGTCTTAATTACGTATTATTATTATATTATAATATTATTTTACGAATTATAATAACAATCATATATGTTTTTTTATTCAAATTAAGTTATACAATTTGTAAATTGAAATGATTTTATGGAGCCACGTTTACAAAATATTGAAAATAATGTATTACGTTAAGTTGTCTTAATCAAAGAAATTTATTATATTAGAAGTACGAATTATAATATTAGAAATATAAATCCTTAAACTAATTATTAAAGCTATTATGACATATTTTTTTAATGTACAACTTCGAAGCAAGAACAAAACAAATTTTATCTTAAAAAAAAAATCTTGTGACACTATTATTTTAAATTTATGTTTCGCGCTTGCAATGAACGAGCTTAGACCTCTGGTGAACGCTCAAGAAATATTGTCTTGATTGAAAAGAGTATCCTATCTAAATAAACTAACTTCCAATTCATCAATAAATTTATATATAAAATAAACATTTAAAATTCATGAAAATATTTTTGACACCCCTTTATCATTGGCGTTTCTATTCATTTTTTTAAGATCGCATATTCTGTATGCATAAATGCGAATTCACACACGTATGGAATTATTTTTTAACATAAGTATTCCGGTCATTAAGGTTAAATCTCCATTTACATAATAATATACGTTTATTTCGCATACTAATAATATTTTCTTAATAAAAAATAATTTATGATTTTGAAAAATGGTAAAAATATTTTTATAAAGTTACTTATTCACAATTGAAATAAATAAATTCTTTATGAAAATGTATCATTACAGAAACAAACATCTGAGAGGGATGAAGTTAAGAGTTCAACTAAATATTTACATCCTAAAAGCAGAAAATGTATAGCATTAATCAAACAATTAAAAAAGTAAATATAACTCTTCAATGTTTAAAATACTTTAATTTTCTATTATTAATGGATCTAGTTTTTATCTAATAATATTTGATGTAAAAAATTGAAAATAAAATACTATTCGTAGTTTATATAAATTAAAATTGTATTTTGTAATGCTTAGAAAATCAAAGAAAGTAAAAGCTAAACAAGAAAGCAGATATAAACAAACTTTATTAGCTGAAAAACTATTATGGTTCCAGAAGAATTTAAATCATGAAATTCATGCATATACAGCTGAACTAATTTCTTTATTAATTGAAAAGTATGTATACTTTTAAATGATCGATACTTCAAATGGGCCTATAAATTAAGAAAATATTTATAATAATTAGGTATATTGCTCGTAATGATGATGAACTACAGCAAATTAATATTAAACGATCAATTGGGGGTAAAAGGAATCAGCAACATGCTAGCCGCGAAGATGCAATTCGTATAACGAAAGAAAGAGAAATAAGGGACTATGAAAGTTGTGGTATAGGTAAAGAAATCTATATTTTATTTTAAAATTAAATTAAAAAAAAAGTGTAAATATATATAATAATTTTTATAGAAATACCCAATCTTTTGAATCCAATTCAATATGAATTGCTTAAAAATTGGAATGGAGATTTAAAGTTATTACCCAATTTTAAACTTTGTCATTTTAAAAAATATTTAGATAATGAGATAATCAAGGAAAAAAAATAATATACATAGAATGAAAATTAACTATATCGGTTAATTTAAAAAATTATGATTACAAAGATTTATGAAGTAAAAATTGAAGAAAAAGCATAATCTAGATAATTTACGTAAAGTAAAATGGATTAGATATGGTATAAATTAACGAATGAGAGTTTTATTATTTCAATAAAAAGAATTTATTATTTTAGTAAAAATGTTAACTATTTACATTAATTCATAAAAAATTATATTTATTATAATTAATTAATTAATTTATAGATTGTCTTTAGTTCTTTTTACTTCCTTTTTTATGAGCTTTACCTTTGGCAACTTTTCCATAAACGTCAAGGATTCCATTGGATTTCTTACCTTTTCTTTTATTTGTATTTGAATTAATATTTTTCTTATTTTTGTTCATTAATAATTTACTTGCACTAAAACCGGATGCAAACTTTAATTTTTTAGCTTCTTGCGCTGCATTCCTTTTCCTTTCTTCGATTAATTTTTTGTAATTTTTTCCCCTATTTTTTGGTGGTTTTGCACCTAAACTTATTGCTAATGCCATTTTTGCTTTTAGACCACTATGCTTATCTAAACCGGACATTCCAAATTTGATAATATCATATCTAAATCTTTTCATTTCTTTTTCTTGTTCTTCTTTTTCATTTATTTTTTGGCTTTTCATATCTTTTTCTCCAGATAAAGATTGCTGTGTTCGATTAATTAAAGCATTTTTACTTTTTGTTTGGTCTTTGGTTAAACTTGATGGCTTATGCGCTTCGTAAGTAAAGAGAGTGTGCATTTTTTCAGCATTTTCAATATTGTTTGAAGCACGAGTTTTAATAAAGTCTTCCATAATTTAACCTTAAAAAAGAAATATTTTATAAAATATTTATCATAAAAATGCCACTTTAACTCACCTAATTGAACAAGTTGAAATTAAAATACTTTAACTTTAAAATATCTATTGCTTATATAAAAATAAAAAGGGATGCGTATATATATATATATATATATATATTGCAAGGTATAACATTTTCATAACAAAAATTCTGCTTTTTGACTCATATAGGTATATTAATTAATATGTTTTAGACATATTGTTGGATGCGTATTTTACATTATCAAAATATATTACATCGAATTTTGAATATTTAAAAAAGTACTGTATTTTAATCTTCCGTATACCTGCTGTTTTTCATGGTAAATGTAACGATGAACGTATCGTATAAGGTATATATGAAAATAAACAATTACTGATTTTTGAAAAGTAAAAAAATTTATTTTTAATGCATTCATATACGCATATATGATTTATTCATTTATCAATAACCACTCAATTACCTTTTAATAACAATTTCGCTTTTTCTATCATAGCAAAAATTTAATTAATAATAAATTTACTTTCAAATTATTACAATTATTAACTGTATTATATTAATTATAATAAATCATTAATATATAAACGTATATTTTATAAATATTTACAAACCATAGGTAAAATAAAGTAGATCTAAGAAAATCAAATAAAACATGATTATAATGTATATTAAGGCAGTATTTAATAAATACACTAATAATATTATTGTACAATACTTCCACTACAATATTTACTAATGCTTGGTATTATCAACATTTTCAACTTGTTCTCCATATTCTTTTTTGTAAAATTCTTCATATTCTATTTTTCTTTGTTCCCGTAGTGCAAAGTATTTTGGATACATAGCTTTTTCCATTGGATGCCAATAATCTAAGACCCAATCTGGTGGAGGTTCATCTCTACAATATGCAACACCCTTGGGTGATTGAGGAAATTGAATATAGTCGTAGAATACATCATTACGTAATTTTTCTTCCGCTCTGTTTAATAAATCTTTTGAAACAATAACATTTTTTATATTTTTATTTTTATCAAATTCATGTCTTATGAGAACTGCTTTATATCTGGAATAGTTTTAAAAATGTTTAATAATACTGAACTTATCTACACACAATCGATAATTAATAATTTTTTATAATAAATGAATTTAACAAATCTTATTGCACCTATAATTACTTATTATTTAAAAGATATTTAAATTTAAAACAATTAGATAAAAATAATCGTGGAATATACATAAAGATAAAACCAACCTAGCTTCTTCAAATATGTGGTTAGTGCTTTCTATATGACGTATAACACGTTTATAAAAGTTACATATTTTTCTTGAATGTGAAACTAATCCTGATGGAATTTGAGCCATTCTCTAAATTTAACCTTTACAAAATGAATCCTCACTTTTGTTGATTAAATATTAAAGTAAATTAATGAAAGCTTACGTCTAAAATGCAAGTTTACAAGATACGTGACGTTACGCATGCGTCAGAAATATATACGTAATAAATGTCTTCGCTAATGTTATTGAATGAAATATGTGTTTATTATTTTATTTATAAAATTTATATTTTATATTAAATTATTAATAATTATCTAGTGCTTGTTATAAATTGAACTTGAAATCTTTTGCAATATTGAAATTATTATTGAAATTATATAATAATTAAGTTAATTAAAAAATCTTTGAACCTCAAAATTATTTTCAGCTTGCAAATTAAAAAAAAAATATGTATATATGTATAAATATATATGTGTGTGTATATAAAATAAAGGCAAGTTTTATAAATTCGTAATCATAACTGAATATAAAATTCAGAAATTATTACAATATCTTATTAATAGTTAATTAAATTTGTAGTTAATTAAAATAAAATTTACAGAAAGTATTGTAATTGGATATGATGTCTATTAACTCTCCAGATTCGCACAAAATTTCTCTTAAAATCATCGAAGCAATAAAACTACATCCAGTTTTATATATTTCTGAAGTTAAAGGAAATGCCATCAAATTACAAGAATTTAAACAAAAGGTTTGGAAAAGAATTTCTGATGAACTAGGTCTAGATCGTAAGTTAAAATAAATTCACGATAAATTTATATTTCTATATAAAATTATTAGTGTATGCACATATTTGTTTAATTATAATGATTTATAATTATTGTATTGAAATTACAAAATTTTATAGCTGAAAATTGTTTTATGAAATTAGTTTAAGGCTTGATTGAAAATATATTTTACTTTTCAAAAATAATATTCTCAGCTTTATTTTACTTCATTTTTCTGTAATTTCAAATATACATGCATCCTATATTAGATGTTTTACTCAAAAAAATTTTATGGCAACAGTGTTTATTATATATTTATGAAAGTTTATTATTCATTAATTATTCAATTATTTTATATTGTATTTTATAAAGATTGACATTTTATATATAAGATTTTATGTATACATTAGATTTAATAAATTATTGTATTTATATATAATAACTAAATGAAATTAAGCTATACATATACTATAATATAATTTTTTAAATGTTACTCAATCTGTATAATACAGTAATAAACTAGTTTTTAAATTGAAGATTTTAATTTAATAAAACTGCCTTATTATTTAATTTATTTAAAAGATTATATAGGTATATGTATGTTACTTTTATATTACTAATTTATATTATAATTAATAATTTATATTACTTTTTAAAAAAATTTTGATCTTCAAATTTCAATAAAATTTACATAAAATAAAATAGAATATTTTACAAAGTTGTTATTTTGTCTCATAACATTGATATGACATACATCTGACACTGTACTTGTCAATTTATAGAAAAAGCTCTTATATTTTACATATATTACATACATATGTAAAAATTAAATGTGTATGACTCTTAATAAAGTGAACTTTTAGCTGTTTGGGTGAAATTAAAATGGAAAAATCTAAGAGATACTTATTGCCGAATATTAAAATATAAAAAAAAATCACCAAAAGGATTAAGGAGAAAAAAATGGATATTCGAAGACCACTTGAATTTTTTAAAGTTTCCTTATGAGTCAAATTACGAATCCCAGCATATTGAATTAACTGAAGAATATATAAATGACATAAACAAAGAAGTCATCAATTCACAAGATTTCTTAGAGCAATTAGAAAATAATATAGAAGATGATGATTACAGTGAGTATTTAGAAATACTTGAAGAAAATACAAATTTAGAGGAAAATCATGTACAAGAAAGTCTTGAAAATGATGACAATGTTATATTAGAAGGTAATGATGATAAAAATTTACAACGTTTAGCAATTGATGCTTACGCAAAACAAATCCAATCCAAGTATAGAAAAATAAGACCAAAAAAAATTAAAATTCAAGAAAATACTAATATTAAATCATTAACTCCAATTTTCATAAATACACAACCAATTATTCCTTTACGCAAGCCAATGGTATCTGAAAATATTCAAAACATAAAAAAAATTACAAAAGCAACTACTGAAAAAAATAATTATGATCATAAAAGTAGTATAGATCATTTTTTTAACAAGATGGCACAAGTTGTTAAGAAATTACCTCCTAAAGCTCAAGCTGATATAAAAATGGATATCTGTAAAATTGTATCAGAAGCAGAAATTCATCATTCTAGACAAAATCCATCAGAAACTATACAAAAGTACACAAGTATGCCAGGAATGATTCCAAAGTTGGTATTAGTTCCATGTCAAATGTTAGACAATTAACATAATTACTTTTAGAAACAAATACTAAAAAATACTGCATCGACCTTGTATAATATGGTTCAACATGAACATTCTTTTGTATAATGAAAATATTAAATTCTTGTTAATTCAATGAATGAAATCTAAAAAATGTTAATATTTTTTAGAAAAATTGCTAATATAAAAATATAAGTTTTTATTATAATGCAATAAATTATTAATTTATAAATAATTTTTTAATCATTTCATGTTTATCTACTGTCTTTGTCTACTTAATCGTTTTTATTTTATTTTATAAGCACGCATTTTTTTATATTAAATCTTATTATGTTAATATAATTAACAAAAGAATTCATAATTTTCAAAAATTAATGTGCATACGAACATTGGAATAAAAAATATTGATAATAATTATAAAATAAATATACAAATTTGTTATAAAAATCTAGCTTTTGAAACATGTTATCTTTCTGTTATATAAAATAATTTATAATAAATTTATAACAATATATTACTCAATTTTACTAGAACAATTCTGCTATATTATTTAATATTTAATATCAAATAATTGTGTATCTTAAAAAAATTTCAAATTGAAATTTTTATTTTACAAAAATACTCCTTTTCGAGAAAAAGTATCACAAGAATATGTCAATTACATAAATTTAAAGATTATTAATTCTGTTAAAAGGCAATTCTATTTCTAATTTCACTTTTTAGTTATTTATAAGAAAATTAAAATATTTCTTTAATAAATTATAACAAAATACTATTAAATGCATAATACTGTATGCTATAAGAAATAAAAAATAATCATATACATATGCATAATAATAATAAAATATGGAAATGTAACATATTTTGAAATAAATATTTAAATCTTAATTAAGAAGATAAATATATTAAATATTAAAAATAAATCATAGATTAATTTTCCAAAATATTTTCTAGCAAGCAACAATTAAAAAACATAAAAATTTTATTTAATATTTAATAAAAATAAAAATGATACAAAATATTAAAAATAATCGAAATATATATGTATTAAGTCCAAGTAGAAAAATATTAATTCTAATATTTACTAATATTAAATTAAAAAGATATTTTTATCAGCAACCATGATTTTATTTTCATCCGACATTCTATAAAGAGCAGCATGGATTTCATCAGATGAAAAAGAAGGTGTATTTTGTGAATTTATGTAATCGTGAACATTATCCACAGGTAATGTATCAGATCGTTTTTCTTGAAACATTTTCAATAATGATTTTCGGAATACTTGAAGTCTAAAATAAAAAATTCAAATATGAACTTATATTTATCAATCGACTACATTCAAAGTAAAACTATAATTATATTCAAAAATTTCTAAATATCATAAGATATGAAATATTAATTAGTAATTTACCTATCGTTACTAATTTCCTGTATTTGTGGCGTCGAGGAAGGTGATTTCTCTTCTGTATCAATTTCTTTAGTCTGAGAACGAGTAACCCGCTGAATAGCATCGTCAATATGGGATTCATCGTCGTCATCATCATCATAAGCATATGGATCATATCCAGGTTCACCATCTACAAGATTGCGTTTCCTGGTGCGTTTAGGCTTTTTATATTCGAAATCAGCATCCTCCTCACTACTGGTACCACTACTTCTTCTGCGCTTCTTCTTTCCTTTTTCTAATACTCGTTTGAAATATGCATATTGGACTAGTTCAATGGCAGCTTGTGCATCTTCGACAGTAACATTTTTTGAGAGACGAGCTTTAGCATGAGCTGTTGATAGACGTATTAATGTTTCAACCGTACGAGCAGTAATTGGTTGCGTCTAAAAGTTTTACAATAACATTTATTACTTTCTTCATATTTCATTATTGAAGAAAAAAAGTTTCATTTTACCCTAGCTACATCAGACTCGATATTATCTTCTGATCTAAGACGTGCATATTCATCTGCAATACTTTTACAAGCCTCTTCAGTAAGTTTGGGCTTCATGCAACGAGCAATATGAATATATTTTCTCATAAACTTTACCGTAAGAATTTGATCACTAAAAATAATTGTTTGCAATTCTTTACGAATTCTTTAAAAATAATAAAATGTGCATGTGCATTTATGCACATATGTATAGTTTGAATACCTTTTCTTACGAGACTTTCCATGTAAAAGAGGATCATATGTTTCATAAACTTGTGTTTCTTCTTCTTCTAGTACTTCTGCATCCGGATTTTTTGTACTTAAATAATCTATTCCAATATTAAACGGTAAAGCTTCACCTTCCTGTTCCGAAGGATTTCGATATCTGTGCATTCTCACAACGTGATCACTTATAATATGATCATTATCTGCATTAATAGTATCCAGCATGACAAAAAGTAAATCAAATCGAGAAAGTAGCGAATCTTGGAGGCCAATATTTTCCATTGGAGATTTATATTGATCGTACTGTATAAAAAAATATTTTCTCAAAAATTTTCTTCAAAAATATGTATTCGCATAAATTCAATTGTTCATTCAGAAAAGAATATCTTATTTGAAAAAAATCTATATAACTAATAGATTTATTAACATTGAGAAATCGATTTAGAACAATTTTTCTATTGATTTTTATAAATAATTCAAATGTAATTTAAAATACAAAATTCCCTATTTAATCTAAGATATTAAAAATATCATATTTTAGATCAATTATTTTTTACAAACTACATCTATATTTTTAATTCAATAATCCTTTATAATTAAATACAAAGATACTATAAACTATAAACTATATATAAAAACTATTCAAACTAATTAATAACTATTCTTATAGAATTTTATTTAATTTAATAAGAACTTACTCGTCCATAAACAGGATTTGCAGCTGCTAATACAGAACATCGAGCATTTAAACTAGCATGAATTCCTGCTTTGGCGATCGTGACTCTACCTTGCTCCATTACCTCGTGAATGGCTGTCCTATCAATATCTGACATTTTATCAAATTCATCAATACAAATAACGCCACGGTCAGCTAAAACCATTGCACCAGCTTCCAACCTACGTTCACCACTTTCTACATCAGAAACTACAGCGGCTGTTAAACCAACACCGGATGAACCTCGCCCCGTAGTCGTAATAGCACGTGGCGCAATACTCAGTACGTATCGTAATAATTGAGACTTCGCAACCGAAGGATCTCCAATTAATAAAATGTTTATATCTCTAGAACGAAATTTATATTAGTTAATAAATTTGTGTAGTTTTACTAATAGCGCAATAAAAATCATGAAATAAAAATGTTACACTATTTTATTCGTAATTTTTAATTTACTTAGTTACTGATGGAAATAAAAATACTAAAATAGCAAATATTGTTAAATACCCCCTAAGTCTTGTGTTGTTTTGAAGAATTTTTTCACTTCCACCTAATAAAAGACATAAAATTGCTTTCTTTATGTATTCATGACCATGAATAGAAGGAGCCAATGATTTACTTAGAAGTTCAAAAATATTTTTCTGCGGATTATTTTTGGACAGGTTTTTACACATTGTTACATCATCATGTGAAATATTTAAGTTAGCTTCCTTAGTTAACTGTGTTATACTATTGGCAATTAAAACAGTCCTGTAATTTATATAAGAATTTTGAAATTAACTCTTTACAAATTAAATCATTAAAAGGCAATTCATTATATTTTAGAAATATTTTTTATAATGGTCCACTAAAATATATATTTTGTTAAACCAAGATTTAAAATTTTATACCTAAAGGCACCAGTGGTATAACCCTCTTTTTTTCCAGGCAAGCAACGATAGCCTCCAACAATTTGTACTCGATCTCCAGGTTTACAATGGTCTACTAAATCATTGTCACATACTACATCAATACTTCTTGGTAATTGTCCGGCAGGAGCTTTCTCCGGCATCTCTTGAATAGTAAGAGTTTGATAATCTTTATAAGTAGAAAGACCATATTCAGTTTCTAAAGGATTTCCATCATCATCCTATAAATAAATAATATATAATGACATAATTAAATTTATAAAATCTAATTTCATTTACATAAAACTAATACAAAATTTATGAAAAACAAAACATTTCTTTATTTTTTACATATAATTCTATACTTTCAGTTATGAGTTTAATTTCTACTTCTTTTATTATTGTTTTTTGATAAAACCAATATTTCCTTACCTGTTTATTAAATCAAAAAAGTTTGTTAATTTGGAAAATATTGTTACAACAAAGTTTATGATAAATCAATTAAAAGAAAATTAATTAAAGTAAAACTAATTATGTAATTGGAATTATTGAAAATTGAAAATCGTTAATATAATTGATTCATATTGCAAAACATTTTTATTCAATATTAAGACTTCAATATATTTTAAATTTCAATTTTTTATTTTATTTTAACTTTTAATTTTATTAAATTTATTATATGAAATATACCCTTATACCATTTATGTATCATAAAATTTAAAATATTTATTAAAAAAAATGTATTTCATAACATGTCACAATTAAATGAATTTTAGATTTTTAATTTTTGTTTTTTACTCCTTACATACGACAGTGCATAAGCTAAGATAATAGCATATATAATAATAACTTTTGTAATAAAATATGAGGAATTTATAATTTTATTAATTTATATTTACCTGTGTAGGATAAGCAGCTGATGTGGGAAATGCATCAAAAGATGTTAAATCACTATATGCTCTTTCCATAACGCTATTAGTAGAACTACAATAATGTACGCTTCTTACTATTTTTGGCCTAACTAAAGAACCTTGAACGATCAAGAATATATATTGAGTGAGTATTGAGTCCAATAAGTTATAAAACATAATATAATAATTTTAAATATACATAATATTATTTATCATTATGATACTATTTTGTTAATAAATATAAAAAAAAAAATATATTGTTTAATAAAGTAACAAATTTATAAACTTACATCTAACAACAATTCCTTCTACACATACCATATTGCCTAAAAATCTTGAAGTTAATGTTCTTGGTGTTGTATGCTTACTACCAAGACTACCTTCAAAGCCAATAAAAAATTCAGTATTTCCTTTAGCACAATCTGTATCTATATTTGATACAAATTGCTTCAATGCTTTTTGAAATGGTACAATTTCCTCAAATGAATTGTTCAATAAACTAAAATAATTTTTTAATCAATATAATCAATAAAGTATTTTATATTTAATTTCAATATATTATTATATATATTGTTTTCACCTGATAGCTCGTTCAGGATTTTTTCTACGTAAATCATTAATATTAACGATCAATCGATATTTTTTTTCATCTATCATATTTTTCACTAAATTAGTGTAAATACCTTGATCCTCCTAAAAATGAAAACAAAATTTTTATAGAATTTTAACAAAAAACTGACGAATAAATAAATAAATAAATAGACAAATATTAGTATATTTATCTATAATAAAAATGAGTTATATACTTGATCATCCAGGAATTCAAGATAGTGTCTTTCGGCATCTTTTAATCTGGGATCTTCATCAAAATTATCCATTTTATTAAATTTGTCAATACAAAATTTTAAAACATATATTTGAGTGATATTTTTAAAATTTACACTACAAATTGATTTTAAATTTACTCTTTTATATTAAAATTTTTTTCTAATTATAACAACTCTTTATTATATGAGGCTTAGTTATTTGAAGAACTTCTATATAATTAACTAATAATTGTTTTGGTGATTAGTTAACTTTTACATGATTTTTTATTTATGTCAAGACGTTAGTAAATATTTGGGCGGGAAAAATATTTCTTTAAGGCTTAGAAAGACGGATACTAGATATTATAGATGCAAAATTATCGTCAAGAAGAGTCGTGAAGACGGACCGTTAGAGGCGCTATAATACCTAACGCGAAGTAACATTTGAAACTAGCAAAAAAAGCCATTAAACTTTTATTACTATTATAATAAAATATAAAAACAACATTAATTAGAACATATATAAGCATATAGTCAAAAATATTTCACAATTTATCAATCGAAACAAATGTGCTATATTTATTAACTGACTAGACTTAGGATTTGCTATCTCATATTTTCAAATTACCGAATGTATATTTAAATACATATTAGATCTTACTTTTTTCAAATAAAAAAATACCTGAATTCTTAATAACAAATAGCCATAATAAAAATAGAGTTTAGGTCTTAGCCAGTGAAAATATCGAGTTGAAATAAATACTCATACTTTGTAGCATCCCCGTTGTTAAGTTCAATATGAAAACTCTAAATTTTTTGCAGATACACAAATGTAAGATATTTGTTAAAATATTTACCAAAATTTTTCAATTAAAACAGCGTTCTTTTTCTTTCGTTTACTTAAAATAAAATTCAATTCACAATAAACATTATCATGAATGTTTCTCTTTTTTTCGTTTTATTTATTATTAAAATCAACTTGAACTTATAGCACATCTTTGTATTGCCAAGCCTAGTAAAAATTTATTGTGTATTGAGCTCAATAAATAAGCCATAAATTAAACATTTATTCCATAGTTCAAAAGTTCAATGAAGCAAAAATATATCAATTACGAGTCAAGCATCCTTATTGACGACAATAATAAAATCACATAATTTATATATATATATATATATATTTATCATATTCATTGATAATAAGACATATATATTTTAATAAATAAATATAATTAATTTCAATAATCTAGGCTATCCATAGTTTAATATATCTCAATAGTTAATTTTTAATTATTAATTTGTAAATTTAAATAGGACTCGTAACTATATTAAATATCACATGAATATTTTTTATATAAAATTTTGAATTTATGACAGTCAGTGTTTCTTTTAAATTTAATAATTCATATTTTTGATAGGACATAAACGATTAACTAATTAAATAAATCTATATACTAAAATTTATAGTAAATATAGAAATATACATGTCAAATCTATTAATATATGTTTTTTTTAAGAATATCATTTGTTAATGTAGATTTCTATATAAAAAAAAGTTGGATATAGTGGAGCATTTAGGAAAAATAATAATAAAACTACACTGAATAATCAAATCTAAAATTAATATTATTTAATTAAACAGTATACAATATAAAATAGTAATTCACATTGTCATTTATTCATTTTTCAAAACAAGCATCGATTTAAAAATTTAGTACTTCATCCTTATTTTAAAAAAATATTCATTTTCATACAAGCGATATATGAAAGAATCTTTGAACTTTAAGTCAAATATTCAGCTGCTGCCTCATTAACTTTATATTTACATAAAATCATTGCATCTAATATCATCATTGTGCAAAATATTTTGTTGGTACCTGAGAATATATATTTGTTGGTTATATTAAAATATGTATAATCTGATTGTAATAACAATAAATTGAAAAATATATTATAATTTTGTATAATGTAATTAAATCAAAATTATATTATTTACTGTACCAGTTATAAATATATTTTTTATTAAAGTTTGTACGTTTTATGGCTAATTTTAATATTACAAAATTTAAAAATCTTTTATAGTAGAGTATGAAAAATGTATTTATAAACAATTTATCTCGAATATTCTTAAGATAATAAAATAATAAATACTTTAATTGCAAATATTATCAAATTATATTCGATAGCTTTATGACATTTTGGTCTGTGTATGAAATTTTAATGCAGATTAAAGAATTTTATCAGTTCTCACATTATTCCATTTTAAATTATAACTATTTATCATTATAGCTAATTTTATTAAATACTACCGAATAAAGTATATTTCTTAAAATAAAGTGTAAATTATAATACGAAATAATTGAAAGAAATTTTTAATGTGACAGAGAAAGTGAGTTGAAACACGATACACTATTAGTCAATAGAAAATACTTTTTTGTAAATAAAATATTCAAATTAAATGTATAACACATTAATTAATTAATTTCAATAAAAACTTTCAAGACCTTTCTTTTAATTTTTAATTATAATTTATAAGTTAAATAATTTAAAATATAATTTTTATTAAGTATTTTAATTAATTAATATTTTGTAAATCTTTGTAATTAATAAATAATTTTAACAATTGAGGTTACTTAAATAAATATTATAATACTTAAATTATTTTTTTATCTTTCATAATCAATAGTAGCTTACTTATATTGTACAATTTTATCACTATTTCGAATATAATAATCAATTAATAGCAAAAGCAGCAATATTATTGTTTAATCAGTTCATTACATTTTGAAATACAAATAATTGATTAATTATATGCAATCGAATATTACGAGAAAGGAAATTTATATTCATATTACTCTATATTATTTAAGAAAAGTGGTCCCTAAATTCTCTAAATTAATAAAAATACATATCGCAGCTGCTTGGTAATTAATTAATTAATTATAGTCTTGAATTAGGCACAAAAGAATTTCTTATTATAGATAATTATTTCTAATCTTTCAACATACAAAATATATCAATATATATATATATATATATATAGAGAGAGAGAAATTTATACATTAGAAATGCATACATTAGTAAACACGTAATTAACAATAGATTTCAATTTTTATTAAGAAGTAGATAAGGAATGTCATAATAATAAATAATATAAGGATTTATCATCAATTAGATAAAACCATATCATATATAAAAAACAACCCTTGTTAAAAATTATATAAAATAGAAAACTTTCTTAACATACAAATTTTTTGCTTATACTTAATGATTATTATCATTAAAATGAATTTTTAATTATAAACGTTATACAAATTTTTATTTTAACTATTTTAAAGTTTAATGCACGCACAATGAATGTAAAAATTCATTGTATGCTCAACACATTCTTTGACACAAAATAATATGTATTATTTTGAAATACTATTTTGTTTTATTGTCAATTAAAGCAAATATTGATTATGCAATTAGCGCATGATTGTCTTCAGTTATGATAAAGATAATACAGATTATAGGCACGATATTTAATACATTGATCTGCATCATTTTATAGAGCAGAACGAAAATTATGTTTGTCAATTGAAATTTTCACATATGATTAATATTAGATTGTCAGGTATATTAAGTTTTTTATACCTTTTATACAGTATTATATATAAAAATTTGAGTTGATTACAGTATTATAATACTAATTTATTTTATTTGATGAATATTTATGAAATTTTCTTCACTGAACGAATATTGATAATTAATGAATGATTTATGTAATTCAGAGTTGAAATTTTAATACTGTCAGTCTAATAATTATATTGAAATATTATTTAGTTCGCGTATAAGTAATATAAAATGATTTATTACTAAATATCTACGCATAATTCAAAATTTCTATCAATCTTAATATGTAAGGTTTGAAATATTAAATTACTTATAAAAATTATCCTTCTTAAACAAAAAATGTTATAAAAACCATCTTAGGTGTTCCCTATCCGACATAGTAGAGACTTTAAAAATGTGAACTCTCAACACTAGCGACAGGGTAACTTATTTTTCCATAATTCATGTCAATCGTTATGAATGTAGGAAGTCGATTTTTATTATCTCTTTGAATAGTAATAGATTTATAAAATTAAAAAAAAAAAGACTTCCTTACATTAAAATTTATACATTGTAAATTTTAATTTACTTCCAAAAATAACTTTGCAAGTCTTTCAACCTCAATATATACATATTTCTCCTTAAGATTTCTACTTAGATTTATGGGATTAAATTTAATCGAAATAGAATAACTAATAATATATTTTTATATATTAGCAAGTATAAATTGACGTAACTGTGTTCCAGAAAGTATTATTTAATAGGGTTGCAAATTGATCTCATATTTCTATAATATCCAGATACTTTGCAGAGAGTTATTAACCTATGCATTAAGGCTCAAGGATACAATTTATTCCTTAGTTTGAAGAAAAGATAGAGTATAACTGAGATTTTATACCAACATAATTTATGGAATTTGTTTGATGTATTTCTGACACTGCAACAGTTGGAAAAAGAAAACTATAAATATGGCATTGACTATAATAAGCTCACAATGCTTTTAAGACAAACGTGAAAAAAAAAACTTTAGCTATAAAAGAACCACATTAAATTTAGAGATTACGAATGCCAAAACAATATGACTTCTAAAAAAAATATTATCAAGTCGATGAATAATAGCTAAGAGTAAAATAAAAATTTAAAGCTAATACATGAAGAAAAGTAATATGAGTTAAACGAATGTTAAAAGAACAATAGTAATCGTAATTTGAGAATGACTGAAAAATGTGAAAAGGATCAACTACTAGTATTGTTTCTTAATACGATCAATAATTAGGCCAAGAAAATGAATAAATTCAGTGAAATACCTGCACTGTATTTAACATAAATAAATCTATGTATTTAGATTAAGATCATGATACTTGTTGCTAACTCACTGAATTATATGTTGAGGCGAATGATCATATCGCCATTAGAAGTTACTTAATTAAAAGCATTATTATTAGCATCTAATTCACATAATGTTGCTGGTAATAAAAATTTTCTAGAGCACATATCAAATAAAAACTCGAGTTGATATTATATAATAGAAATCTGTCATACTTCTGGAATTTGTTGAAGTCATATAAATTCTAATACTCACTACCGCTATTATACCACTACTCGTATTCAGCTGTAATTGCACAAGATATATAGCATTGTATACTCATTATTGATCAAATTAAAATTATGCAATAAATCTTAGTATTAGATATTTACTTTCTGGATAAGAACATCAGTCTATTCAGAATAAATCTTCTCGATCATAAATACTTTTAACATTAACTGCTATTCCAAAACTGAGGAGTTCTAAAATTATCGATCCTTTTAATCTCTCAAAAATTTATTCCATTACCACCTATCTCATTGTTGTCAGTTAAAATTAAGATCAGTTACGCTAAAATACATTAATCAAATTAAAGAAAACAGACTTGCTCGCAATTCTTGTGGCTACATCCAGACACTGGTAACTCAGTTTCTTCATTTAATTACAATTATTATAGATGAGGCATGTAGCAATTAGAGGCCATTCGATTAATGTTCATTGTATTAGTAAAGGTACTTTCAAAAACTTATCACGATTTTTAATATTGTATGGTTGACGATCAGTATAATAAAAATACAATCTATACAACAATAGAATAACCACTTCCATGTTGTTGATAATTAAATAATAAATTTGTCTTTAACAAGCAAGACACCCTATTTTAATTACGTTACTACAAACTGCTATTTCTAACGTTTATGTACTTAAAAATAACCTTGTAATATGATAGCATTTTCATATTTTCATACTTGCAATTTAATAATCAGTTCGTGTAAGCTCAGATACGCCCTATGAATTTGCATTTAATATTTATCTATTCTTCAATTGCTTTTCTTACATACAGCCAATAACACGTTTTTGTTCTCCTATCTCGATATCTGAAACTAATTCAATTTCATTTAATTTTATTAATGTAATGAACTTTAAAACTTTAATTAACATTAATTAATAAATAATTATGAAAGTAGCATGATGATGAGAAAGCAATGTTAGATAAGCTTCAAAATGATGTTACTATTTGCAACATTAATAAAGGTAAAGCGTACATGTAAAGGTCAATTTGATTCTAATATTTTGCCATTTCACAGTTACAAAAGAACTATATTAAAAAATTATTATGCATGTAATAATTTATAGCTTTATAGCGATTATTAGTTTTGTTTTTATTTAATTATATATCCAGTATATTAGAAGTTTAATATATTAGTAATTTCTCTATTTATATTGTCCATCTGTTTATGATAAATATATTATGTTAAAAGTATCTTTTAGCGTCAACATTTATTTATATCATTAAATTAAAAATAATCTATTTGCATGAACTTTTTTTATATTATTATTTTATAAATGTATATAAAAAAATTTAAAGCATAAAATTATAGAAATTTTTAATATATAAATAAAGAATTTACTTATTTAATAATATAAATATTATTTATATACTATTAAAATTTATGACGAAATATTTTATAAACCATATAAAATAGTAGCAACAAATTTAATGAACAAATAAGTAAAAATTTTACGTAAAATCAAATGGAATATTGATACTAATAAAATGCTGAAAAATTTTCTGCTGATTGATATATAGCACAAAGGCATTTGTATTAGTCGAGTTAGAACTTACTAATTAGCTTTTAGATGACAGCTTGAATGAATCTGTTTCTGATTAAAATGTAGGTGAGTTGAGATTAGGACTTCCCAAACTTGTTGAAGATGTTGATGGTGTACCTGTTGGTGATCCTTCTAGTGGACAAACTAGATTTCCAACATCTATTTCATTCTTACATTTTTTGCGTTTGAGCGTAAATTGTGTTCTTTTTGGTACCTAAATATATATTTATTCAATATTGCAATACATAATGTATATATATATATATATATATATATATATATATATATATATATATATATATTCGATAAGAATATTGTTTATACCTTTAATCTAGCCGTAAGTGTAAGAGGCACGAATCCAAGCGTATTTTCTATTTCTCGTTTTTGTTGAACAACTTCCCTACCAACAATCTCATTAAAGTGAGTGGTTAAATGCCGACGAAGTAAAGTTTTAACTGGTGGTATACTTAGTAAAGTAGCTAATAATTCAGAGGTAAATCGATGTTCATAAACTATGAGTCCGCCATGAACACCCGACCCGCGCATATTTGGTGCATATTCAGCGAGGTCGACTATACGCAGCCATTCCATAACTCTATGATTTGTCCACAATGCTACTTGAGTTTTATTCTTATCCATAACTTCACACAA